GATTTGTTCCGTCAAAAATGCTGCTATATAATATAATGTAGATAATCTGTTTTACTCCAATATTTGCTGGCGTGCGCCGCCACTGTTCACGACTCTACAACATTCTGCCTGTTAACGAATGAAGTCTGGATTAAGTAATCTCACAAAGAATTTTCAGTGATTCAGTTTTGCAGGAGAACTGAACAATGTCTAAATAGAGAGAAAGAGCCCCGCTCTAACCTCTCGCGATCTCCCGAGGGACAAAGGAAAGGCGGCGCCAGCAGTACCAGGGCAGCAGAAATAATACGAAACGTGTTCTGTTTCAACAAAGTGTAGCGCCTCCGTAAATTACAGAGGGATTCGCTGATAGGAGCGAGCCGCCCTGTTGCCAATTTTACTGAGGTTCTCTAGGTTGGGGATTATTTCCATTCTGGCTGAAATGCAAGTTATTCTGAATAAATCTAAATAAACTAAAATAACACTTACTTCTCAACGAATTTAATTTGTTAATTTTCATTTTTTATTTTCATAATCTTTACATATCTACATTTATAATAATACATATTTAAAAAAAGTTTTCTAAAAGTAACTTCGAAACTGAGCCTAATAAACAGTGTTAATTAAATATGTATCATCTTGAGTAAAATGGAATGAAAAAAATCAACAGCTAGAGGCTTTCCTCTTCCTTTTTTTACAAACTCCTCTTTCTTACAACATTTATCGACATATTGATTGCATATTTAATATTTATCAAGGTTAAAACAAAGTAAGGAAAGAATTTAAGCATTTCTTCTTCTTTTTCTTTTTCTTCCTCTTCTCCTTCTAGTAGTTGGTTCCATAGCACTGCGGCCTGATTAGGCCTATTGTGCGTCCCACTACTAGTCCTATTCAGCAAGTAGATTTGTCCTTTTTACAAAGTCCAAAAGCTTCCTTGCTGACACTTCTCTCAGTTCCTTGGGTTCCAAATAGGGTCACCCAAGGAGCGCCATTCTGCTACTTGCAAACCCCGGGCACTCGCCCAGGATATGCAGAGAAGCTTCATCCGCCGATTCACATCCTCGGCAGACCGGACTATCTACAAGTTTTAACTTATGTAGATGTTTCCTAAAGTGAGAGTGTCCAGTTATGAGTCCTGTCACTCTCCTAAGCCGGATTCTGTTCAAGCTCAGTAAATCATTCGCTCTTTCCTTCGAAGGATACTCCATGAGCTCCTTAGAATGACTATGTCCTGGCCTTGAAGTCCAGTATTTCCTGTGTTATGTCTCAGTCCATTTGCCTAGAGCCCACCCGACCACACTGGGAGATGTGCCACAGAAGGGCTCCGGGCCAATGAACTCTGTCTCGGATCCCTTCCTAGTAAGTTCATCCGCTTTCTCATTTCCACAAATGCTTTTGTGAACTGGCAACCAACACAGTCTGACTGTATTGTTGGTGGCCAGTTCAGTCAGCATTTGTAAACAATCCCACACCAGTTTTGAACTTATCTTGTGTGCGCCTAAAGCTTTAATTGTAGTTTGACTATCAGAGAATATATATATGAGTTTACGTTTATAACCTCTACGTACATTCTCTGCCAGACACGCCATTATCGCGAAAATTTCTGCTTGAAATACGGTAGGGAACTCCCCCAGACTGTAGACACTCCATCTGAGTCTGAGTCCATATATTTCTACACCCGTCCCTCTGGTCATTTTGGAGCCATCTGTAAACCTTTCCAGGGTATTAAACCTTTCATTCCATTTGCTTTGATCCTCTATTCGAGTCTCAAATGGCTTGTGAAAGTGAAACCTTGGAACCATCTTGTCAACCATCCCAAAAGTTGATTCCGACATATATGTGTCTATAATCCTGGAATAGGAACTACCCCTCCAGTCGTTGTTATTCCTGAGTCGATATGCTGCTAGCCGCGTTTCTCTTTCCACCACTATATGCAGCGGTGGTAGATTTAGCATGACTTCTAGTGCAGCTGTCGGAGTAGATGCCATCACCCACGTAATACCTAAACAGGCCAATCTCTGAATTCTATTCAGTTTTTCCCTCGCTGTGGTCTGTTGTGTTTTTTGCCACCATACCATAGCGCCGTAAAGAATCCTAGGTCCTACTATCGATGTATACAACCAGTATGACATCTTTGGTTTCAGTCACCAGGTGCTCCCAATAAGGCGACGGCATACACACAATGTCTGCTTGGCTTTACTCACCACTTTTTCCAAGTGCGCATTCCAGGTAAGTTTATTATCCAGTATCACTCCTAGATATTTTACTTCCCTGGAAAGCCTAATGCTCCTCTCTTCTATTATAGGTTCAGAGAGTTAAGCATTTAGTTTAAGTCGCAATGTTAACAGAACTTTTCAGAGCTTCACTTAATGTACAGAATGTTTTCTAAGTCTATGTAGTAACTTTAGTTTAGTTCGTTGAATTATTTTATATTAAACGAAAAATTAATAAACCAAAAGATGAAAACATTATTTTTTCGAGTTGCAGGTTATTGAAATTAAAAAAATATATATATTTATTCAAATATTTCAGAAGATATTTGATGTAGATGGATTAATGCTAAATTAGCATTCTGGAAATTCGATAAAAGTGCAGTTAATTAACAATAGTATTTCTAGAAGAAAAGATAACATCTACTCATTTCGAAAATCGAACCATTTTTGAATTTTTATATTTAAAATTATTTAAAACGAGCCTCGCCCACAGCTAAATAATTTTTACATTGTTTTTTCAACTTTTAACGGTTACACTGTATTTAAAATATTATTTAAAAAAATGAAGTTCATTTTTCCTTTTCTGAAATAAATAAAGATACTTAAATGCGTTCAATTGTACTGAAGTTACAACATTTTGAAAACACTGTATATTTTGAAAATATGTTCTCATTAAAGCGTAAACTAAGGTGTCTTCTTATTTTGTTTATGCCTTTAGAAAGACTGAATATTTTTATAGTCGAAACTTTTGAAAAAAAAAAGAATTTTAATACTTATTCTAACACGCAATTAAAAGGAACAGGACAGCACTATGACCTACATAAATATTTTGTAATATGCGACAGATAGATATTAAATAAAATAACACGAAAAGCTCGTCAAAACAACAACAAAATGTTAATGTATTATTTATTTGTATATTTCTCAAATGGTTTTTACTTTTTCGTTATTTTGAGACACTGTAGATTTAAAAATAGTAAATAAACATCTGCGTCATGGAATTTGTGACATAATTCAATTTTGTTTTGGCAAATTACTTTAACAAAACCAAAGTAGATACTTTTTTTGGGGTATTTGAGGATAATCTTGTAAATCTCTGGGCACAGATAAGTTAATTTTTTTATCAGCATTATTTATATAAAATTTAACATTTTTCGCAAAATTTGATGTAATATGTACATTCAAATATATTTTTCATCCCCCAAAGCTTGCTACATTATTTTTGGGCGTTCAGTATAGCAAAGCTTAAAAAATCAATATATCGTACTTTATTAACAATTGAAACAATTATTGAGCATTTTTTAAGCAATTTGTATATTATAGGAATACGTATATAGAAATACGTTTGTACATTTATTAGTGTTTAAATAATTTGCCTTTATTCCCACTACCTTTTCTTACAACAAATACTAATTCACTGCATAACCTTAATTACATTGCAATATTATTATAACGATAAATTTATTTAAAAAAAGATTGTCAGAAGTGGGATTCGAACCCACGCCCACAGAGTGGACTGCGACCTGAACGCAGCGCCTTAGACCGCTCGGCCATCCTGACATATGCAAACTTTTGTGCAAACTGCTATTTCCGGATGTACAATATTTCTGCATAATAAAATGTATAAAATTTTCAGTAAATATTGTTATAAGAATTAAATTTACACTACATATTAAACTTGAATTGATATAACATTCAATGAAGCATGTTAAATGTAACACTTATAATTATAATTACAGTTTTATTTAACATAACTTAGGCAACCAGTTATTCAATACTGGTGTATGCAACTGTTTATACACAAACCAGGTAAATATGCTAGTATGACAAATGAGTAAAATTTTAGTTTTGCGAGTCAGAGAATGTTCATGCACAGTGATCAACTAACAGTACAATCAGGGAAGCGGGCCCGGTTTTTAATAACAAAACAAAAATAGACGATAAAACAATCACTGCATTAGGAGGTAGAATACAATTCTATGACGCCCATAGAATGAAAATTTAGGGGGTAATCTAAGTATGTCGCAACGCAAGTACCTATCTAGTGTCTAATTGCCAATAAATGGCCAACAAAAATAAAGATAGATCAGTGTTATAATATTACAGCTGCAATTATTAACACTATTACAATCTAAATACTACAAATTGAGGTGTACAAGTATATTTAAAAAAATAGCGTCAAATTATGAAAGAAAAATATTTAAAATTTGCAATGATTAAAATATGTTAATTAAGAGTTAGATCTGCAATAAATGATCCCGAATTTTATTTATTTATCAAAACATTCAAATAAGTATAAATATTCTACTTGAAAAGTAATTTTGAAGTCCGTTTAAACAGTAAAGCAGTAATAACAATAATTTGTGTTCTCTATAGAGACCTATCTGTCTAATCTTGCTTTGTATGATTATAATATGCCTTTGAGTCTCTGAAATAAACTTTGAGAGGCGAAAAGTAATGCCTGAAGGTACAACAATCAATTTTTCTTTCTGATTCAGTAAAAAAGTTGATGCAAAATTTGATTAACGCATTACAAAAGTAACTGATACGTATTTAAATTATGTATTCAAAAAGCTCGAAGATGGAAATTAAGTAGATATAATACTATATCCAAAAAAAAAAAAGTCGAAAGTGGCTTTGCTATTTTCATATTTTCATAGTAAATGTTGCTTCTCTGTAAGTGAAAGAAAATGGAAACAGAAAGTAACTTTATTTAAGTGCTTAAAACCAATTCTCATCAACTAGGTACGCCACTGATTGGGGAAGCAACGTACCTTAACAGTGACATGTTTACCCACTTTTCAAATAATATCGGTGGCTTTCTACACGCTGATAATTTCATATATTTATGAACAATAACGTACGTTTGTTTTCAACGATGCAATGACATCCGTTGAAGTATTTTTCTGTGCATTACATGTACCTGTCTCACCTGTAGTGTAATAGACAGTATAAATCTGCGATTTGTTCAGCAAGGTTTGTTTGTAACGCTTCACAGAGTTCCAAGTATTGAAGATGGACGGTAAAGAAGGTCAGCAGAAGACACAGTATAGGAGAGTGCCAACTACTGTAATATCTACAACCTATGAAGAGCAGGTAAATTTGTTTTAAAGTATTGTTTTAATAAAATAAAGTCGTTTATCGGAAAAAATAGGCATACATAATAACCACTCGTTTTATATCGATTCACTTGTAAACAATGGAAATATCAACGACTAAAGTTCAAGTTTTTACATAAAAGTGCAGTACACTGTAGCCCAAACTATATATTATGTATTTTGTATTGTGTTTTATAAATATTAATAATACTTAAGTACTTAATGTAATTTAAAAAATTATACAATTTTCCCCATGTTGCCTCAACTGTAGCACCAATACTGATGATAACTTTATTTTTACAATATTGCAGTTATTTTTTTAAGAGAATTTTGTCAGTATATCCCAAAATAATCAACAACAACTGTAGCAATTTATATAGAAAAAACGACTAACTATATTTTGTCACACATTGCAAACAAGGAAGATACCATCAAAAAAGGATGCTAACAATAAATAATTTACTTTTTTGTCCATATCGCTTATTACTAGAGATAAACCTATCACTGTAATATTAACAAAGCGCTCTATTCAAATATGTAAAAATGTATAAAGAGTTCTGCCAAAAAAATACATATTCCGAAATGCAACATACAATTGTTTTTCTATGTACTGTTTCAAATTTACAAGAAAAGTTCCTACAACTTTGGCCTATCATTTTTTTTGAGTACGAAAGTGAAAAAGATAAATTTAATAATAATTTAATAATCCTGTACAATTATTATTCAAGCCCAAAAATCGCGCAACATTATGGATTTTTGATAGCTTATTAACAGAAAATCCTTCATTTAACACAACGAAGCTTCTTGGTTTGTTCGTCGTTTTAGTATTTGAAATCGTGATGTGGATATACCGCCCTTTGTCATATATTGTCAATGATTACATGGGTCAATTCCTCGTAACGGCAAACGCCAAAAACTCCTAATATCAACATCCCTAAAAACAACAAATTTAATAAATATAACTCAGTTAAACTATTCAGTAGAACCTACCTTATTCATAAGATGATCCTCGTCTAGGACTTCACGCAAAAATTGTTCAATTTGTTCTCTTTCTAAACCTTGGATTTTTTTGGTTGAAAATGTTTGTGCTTAGACTTTAGAAATGCCACTACTCTTCCGAATTTAGAAATTTCAATGTTGTTGTAAACTCTCAAAGTTGACTTCAACATGGAATATTTAGTCCACAATGTGGATGGACCTGATTTCTCTCTTAAATTGAAAAAATAAGCCAGCAAGACATCTTCATTTACGCCTTTCACCCCATCTTTGATTTGCCAATCTTGAAATTCCTTCAGTTCTTTGTTGTAGGTATATAGATTTTGATTTCTCCGGCATGATGCCTGCAGTAGCCGCATTAGCTTTTTCTAAAATTTCATATTCAGATTTTCCACATTTTCCATTTTTTCGGTCTTGGTTTTAGGATTTCAACGTGATTTCAACTTAAAAAACATTGTTTGTTTACTGACAACACTTGGTTACGTTACACAATTTAGGTTGACACTCGCATCCTTTGTAATATTTAAAAATACATTCATTTCGTTAAATTCCTTTTTCTGATATTGACAACTTGAAATTTTAAGTTACTTTCATTTATTATTAAAACGAAATTCTATGGAAATGTTGGATAAAATTGTGTATGGCACTCGTATCTTACGTCATATAAGTCACATGTACATTTCCCAGCGTGACTTATATATACCGTAACACACTAGTACAATTGCAATTGCATTTACAATTGCAATTGTGATAGTTCTTTGTAGACAATGGAGACATATTTTTGTGTAAAATTTGATGGATATATATTTTAAAAGATCATCAAGGAAATAAATCGATTTTATTATTTATTAATAACAACGTTTTATTCTGTGTGTGCAATAGAAAATACATCAGAAATTCATCGTAAAGTGTCTGGCATTCTAATCTCAAAAATTGTACCCTAAATTATTTAAAAATAACAGCGCAGTTAACACCCTGTATAACTTTTTCAAAAATTTATTAGATTTAGGCTTTCCAACACATCTTTCTCCTACATTTCAATATCTATGTCTATGTCGTTTGTTTAAAAAAAAAACTGTAACGAAATTACATCACAGTAGATCATTAGCTCACACAATTTATGACACATTTTTTTAAACATATAATACATATAACATATAATATAACATATAACATATAACATATAATGGAATACATTAATAAATCAGTTTAATATTTATCACTTACAGTACTTACACAGGTCATAGTATATTACTTATTGCATTTGCCATTCAAATTCTAATTCAACAATGTACAATATAAAAGTAACAGGAGTGTATCTAGAAATAAGTAAACAAAACGTGCCTGTCTTGAAATCATTCAGTTTTTTAATAATTATGTCCAATGGAAGTTACACTTGCCTCAAGGTTCTATTTAACCTTACGAACTATATTTAAACACGTACTCGTAGTATTATTTATCATTGTTCTTATTATAATATCTAAGTAGGTATTTATAATTATTGCATAATTAGATGAAATGAAGTCATATAATAAACAGTTAGATGTACATTCATTCCAAAAAAGTCAACATTTTTAAGTTACATTTCATTATGCATTTAATTTGGAGATATTTGTAAGATTGTGGACAGTTACCCCAAAAATGCTCCAATATGAAATTAGCGTATTTACAAAAAAATTACTTATGAATAAAAATTTTAATGTTTCAACTTTTTACGGAAGTAAATTTGTATTTAGTAACTTGGTTTCTTGAATTCGGTATATTTTCTTCCAGACATAATTTTATTTATATAATTATTAATAAATATTTATTTTTAATCTGTATTTTACAATACTCGTACAAGGGTTCATTTTTACTAATAACAGGTATTTTATTTTGTTATATTCATGTTACCTGGACAGATATTGCATTCTATGTTTTACTGTTATCTATAAATTATTCTTATAGCCGTTAAAAAAATGTACCTAAATGTATTAAATAAAGCATGCCTGCCATTAACGATTGTTAAAAGCGAAGGTATAATTTTAACATGACTTAAATGTTATCACTTATGTTTAAGTACACACAATTCTATTTATCTATTTTCTTGTTATTGTAAATAATGGTTAATTATAATATTGACATTAAACGAATTATGTGTGTAATAGTACAATAAACATTAACGTATAGTTTTTTCCAAAAATTTAAGTTTTTGTTGCGATACCAGTTGCTGATTTTGGCAACATTAATGTAACTTGATTATAATACAGTCTGAGTTCCATATCAAACTACAATTCAAAATGATTATGAGTGAGTCCAGTGCGAAACGATAATAGATCGCAATACGAGGTGTGGCTACAAAATAACGAGATTGAGCCGCTTGTGCCGCTTTTTCTTTCGTAGCTTCATCGGTATGTAGTCTTGTTCCTTTTAATGCAGGTTTGACCTTGGGGAACAGATAAAAGTCACGTGGCACCAGGTCAGGCGAATAAGGCGGATGGTCTAACACTGAGTGTTTTTCCAAAATTCGGGTCTTTAAATAGTTTCCCAAAAGCGTAATGGATTTCTCCACGGAAATAATTACACATTAATTACGCAAATTTAAAGAGACAATTTAACAACCCCCTCAGTCTATTACGGTTCTCAAGATAGAAATGATGTTACATCCTATTTGACACTCTACATTTGCTGGTTATACAGTTTAAGAATTAGAATTTTCCTGTTATTTTAATAAGACAGACTTGTACACATACGAGGCCTGCTCAGAAAATAACAGAACTTTTTGAATTACCACCATTTCCTTTGTAACCACATGTTCTTGGATTGTTAATATCTCATTTAGTTTTCGTGATATTGTTATTTGAGTACAACGTGTTTAAATGTTAATGACGATTTTTGAATTGTGCGATTTTCTTTAACAACGATGCAATGTCTTTTACATGAAGCTGGAGAAAACTTTCACGGAAACGTTTTAACTTTTGAAACAAGCTTACGGAGATGATGCTCTGGGTAGTACGCAATGTTACGAATGGTTTTCACGATTTAAAAGTGGTTGTCAGTCAACCGAAGATGATCCTTGATCAGGAAGGTCTTCGACTCCATCTGATGACCTCCACTTTCAGAAAGTGAAATATCTGGTGCGTGCAAATCGCCGAGTTACTGTCAGAGAAATTGCAGTTAACACCTCAATTCGGTCATACTTTGACTGAAAAATTGAACATGCATCGAATCGCAGCACGGCTTGTTCTAAACAACAGAAAGAACATCGTGTGGATATTTGTCGGCAACTCCTGGAACAATCCAATGACGATGAAACATTCATTCAAAGAAGCACAATGGGAAACAAAAACTCGGATTATGGCTACGACATGGAGTCTAAAGTTCAATCATTGCAATGGAATGGCAAAGAATCACCACGCCCCAAGAAAGCACGTCAGTCTCGATTCAGTATCAAAGTGATCCTCATTATTTTTTTCTATTTTAATGGAATTGCGCATTTTGAATCCTTGCCTTAAAGTGAAACACTGAACCGTGTGTACCTACTATAGGGGCGTTTTACAAAGGTTACGTGAAAAAATCGGCAAAAAGGGGCCAGAGTTGTGGCGGGAAAACTTAGGCTCCTGCACTGTGATAATGCGCTCACACACTCAGCTTTGTCAATTCTTCAATTTTGTGCAAAAATTTGGATTTCTGTCCTCTCTCACCCTCCTTACTTGCCAGACCTGTCTTCTTGCGATTTTTTCTTATTTCCGAAATTAAAATTAGTACTGAAAGGACACCGTTTGATGACTTCAAAGCAAATTCGTCACATATTTTAAATAAAGCTATCCGGGACCGATTTGCGAAATGGAAACTTCGCTGGGACAGTGTGTGATTAGGGGAAATGAGTACTTTGAATGCGACAACAAGGACCAATAATGTATAAAATTAATAATAAAGTTTAAAAGAATAAAGTGCGGCTATTTTCTGCAGAGCCCTCGTATTACATCATTAGTCCCAAAACAATTTTGCTTTATTAGATAGGAATACAAATTAATATTCACTCACTGGTAACCATCAGGTTACTGTATATCCACACAAAGTCAAGGCGACATGTGCGAAGGCTTTTATAGGTGTCATAATAGATGTTTAGTTAAAAAAGTGGGTTGACGCAGTATACAACGCGCGGGTCGTAACCTGAGAAATAAGTTTTCTTTTTGAAACAGTGAAGCAGTTATTTTCACCTGTATTTAGCTTTTAAATGTTGTAAGTACATATCTACTGGAAATATTAAGTAAATTTTATACTTCAGATATTACTAATTTTTACTCAAAAATATAAGAATTCAAAATACCTATGGGACGGAAAATACCGACAGTTTGTATAGTTTCTTGAGAAAAAGAACGGTGTTAGTCAGATAAAATAATATATTCTGCGATAGAATATTGTTAACAAGACCTATGATTTTATTTTCTTAATTATAGTTATACCGAAAAGGTGTTGAATAGGAAAACTCTTATTTTTCAGTTTAACGAAAAAAGTTGCTCTTGATAAAAAGTTTTGCTGGTTCTTAAAGTAAAATTGAGATAGAAAAATTTAACTTTTCTTATTCATAAAATTGAAAAAACCTTAAATGGTACAAGAGTAAGGTGCACTTATTTATGAAGATGTGGAAATAAGTTACTAGGAAAAGTTGTTCAAAAGCAAAAGGCAGTCTCTAATACCTACCAATTTTCGAAAAAATCGGCCTACTTTTATTTATTTGTAATCATTAAATTTATTTTATACAAATTAAATTAATTTTAAGGACTGGCTTATTATCGCTTTGCTGGTATTACATTCAGTAGCGGAACACCCCAAATTATCATTAAGAAGAAGAGCTGAAAATCTCCAATTGTTTAAAAAGTCACAAATTCAGAAGATATTAAAACACATACAATACATCGATACAAGCCAGTTTTTAATCATTTTTTGATGTCGATGCTGAAGTAGAACGTTTGGATTATTTTTGTTTGTGTGTTGGCAGTATGAAAAGAGGATTTCATGAAAAAATCATCATGTTTTCTTAATCACTTTTTCAACAAATGGTGTTGTGGCTTCGCAACATGCACGACATTGGAGTGATTTTAATCCGCGTTTTCAAGTACTACGTGAGCGTCAGTACTTTACTAAAATGAATGTGTGGTGCGCCATTTCTTATTACGGAATAATAGGGCCATGCTTCTTTAACACTTCGTGTAATGAGGATAGTTACTTACATATGTTAATAAATTTCCTTGACTGTGAGTTAGAAAACCTTCGGTTAGAATACCGTCGTTCATTTTATTTTCAACAAGATGGAAGTTAAGACAATGGTTAGACCATACATTTCCAGAGCAATGGATTGAGAGACAAGAACCAGTTTAGTGGCCTCCTAGGTGTCCAGATTTGACAATACTGGATTTTTTCCTATGGGGTCGACTGAAACAAATTGTTTATCGCACAATTCTAATAGATTCCAACATTGATCAATTAAAGCATACAATTAGAGATGCAGTTGTTTCAATATCTAGATGAAGTTAGAAGAAGATAACTTACTTGTCCGTTTAAAAACATGTGCTCAATATGGCGGCAGTGTGTTTGAGTAAATAACTTTTAAAAATTGCGAATTGTTAATTTGGAATAATTTAATTTGTATAAAATAAAAATAGGCCGATTTTTTCGAAAATTAGTATTAGAGACAGCCTTTTCTTTTAAAAAAATTAAATTCTATTGAAATTTCGATAGACATTATCTATATAGCAAATAAATCTACTCATATGCACATAGCATACATATTGACTAATTAACAACATAAAAATGTCATATTTAAGTAGTTTTAAATTATATTTAATGATCGCATAAAGGCTATGTAGATGTGGCAACAGCGCCAATAATTGACTAGCAGTGGTACACACTGCGAACCTATAGACCTCGTACATCGGAGATATTGCGCGTCAAATTCGGGTAAAGATGCGTACGCGTTCAAAAATGTATTGTGTGTAAACTATGTACAATATAATTATTATATATAGCAAATATATCGTATTATCCTCGCGAAGATTTGTATCCTTTATTTAAAATCCGTAAATCATGTGAACTGGTAAAACGAGAATTATGTTAATTTAGTTCTAAAAAAATTAAATGACACTCGCGCCCATCTCTCGTCCAAGTCAAAGAAAATGTTGGATGCAATTTTGAAGGTTCTGTGATAGAAACTACATTATTACTCTATTAATCTCTATTTTACCATTTCGCAAAACCGCTTCACGGAAGTATTTGTTTATAAAGTCAAAATTTTTCTAACTTTTAAATTCGCTCCAAAAATTATTCAAAAAATGAAAATTGTTATTATAACGATTCTATACGACAATTTTTCTGATTGGGTAATAATGCATTTTTGATAAAAACATTAATAAAAATGAAAACGAAAACAGAGAAGGTTTTCGAAACTTAATATGAAATATTGACTGATTGTTTTTATGCAAATTATCAGTAAGAAAAAATTCCAAAATAATTTTTGACAATATTTTAAAGAATGTTCATGTTCAGAAAATGTCTGCTGGAGTCGCTACCATCAGGATGGTCATGTGGATGGCGTTTAAGTCACTTAACATACTGTACATACCCATATTTATAGCCAGGAAATTTAAAAGGTCAAAAATATGTCCTCCAGTCAAAGATGAGATTCTACTTCTACCAGCCAGTGAGCTAGCCGATAAAATAAGGAAACAAGAGGTAAGCTCTTTTCGCATACAAAATAGTTTAAATGTTAAGACGGCGATTTCTGCCACCAGGGATTTTTTGGCGCTAGCATCACTTAAAATTATTAAATTGCAATATATAGCTAGTATAAGAACCTCGCTGTACAGCGGTAGTATAATATAAAGTCAATATAAGTATGACTTTTGAACAAAAGGTGTCACAGGCATACCGTGGAATTAATCTCAACTCAACTCGTAATACATTTATTAGACCGATCAAAATAACTCATTTAGAGGGGAAAAAAAAGAAAATTGTTACCTGGACTTTTATAAGTGAAAATGGTAAAGGGGCTTATAATAAACGAAAAAAGGTATCGAAATATAATATTTTTTAATTTTTCAAAAATGTGCTTTTTTTGGCTTGCCAGGGCCTATCATAGCAATGTTACCATTTTTAACGTTAGATATTTTTTAATACAACAATACTTTTTTAATTGTTATCATAATGTGATCTACATATACGTTTGGATTTGATAGATTAGCAGTCAGGTAAAAAAATGGACCACTGCAAAAAAAAATGCCCCGAACACCTTGTAAAACTTAAAACGTATACATTTTAAATTTAAAAGCAAATAGGTATTAACTATTTATTAACAAAAACTACTAAGAATGTAAATTTAAATGTATTTAACAATTCTATTTGTTCAAACAATCTAAAATTTCAAAATATTGATTGAAGTCATATGTCGCATAACATAACATAACCTATCTTTTTATGAATCTAATCTGGGCGGGCTGGCGCAAATAAATGTTCTTTGGGCTGGCGGTGGCGGGCATAAAGTTCTATGGGCAGGGTTGACAGATAAATTTTATCTATTGTCGTCAGTAGATGGAAATACAGTAGCCAAAAAGTCTGTTTTAAATAAAACTTGTTAAAAAATTAAGTTATTTTTATAGGTCTAAACATTCTGAAAGAATATTTAAAAATCAGACATAAAAGAGTAACAAAATACAAATTGGACTGCAAAGAAAATATTTCAACGCAGATTTGGCAGCCATTAGAGTACGGTGTCATGTCGCCACAATGGCGATAAATCGCTGCATTTGACAACTTTGTCTATGGGGCAGGTGAATAACAATCACAGTCACCACGTTCCAAATTCACCAAATTCCTCAGTTTATCTTCGTTCAACCGTCATCTCTTCCTGACTCATTGCATATCCTAAAAGAAAATGAGAGGCAAATTTAAAATTGTCACTTCTTGTACCACGCTCCTTTTAACATGAAATAATAAATTTAATCAGTTATAATTATGATTAATTAACAGGTAATTTGAGTCTAAAATGTTACAATATTATCTTGCCTCCAAAATATAAATTGTGTATAATTTATATGATCTTATTGTATCTGCTTTTGTCTTTAGTTAAATTTCAAATAACTTACCAAAGTACTTTAAATCTTTATAATAGGCTGCAACATAATTTATTTTTGTACGTATCAACTACAGTTATCGTATTTATCCTTTTACAATTGATGTTCCGAATTAAAAAATTCTTAAGTTTTTACAAGTAAACTATACAGTAATTTTTAGCCTTGAAAGAGTTTTTTTTCAGTGTTCGGAGTTAAATGGAGGAATAAAATGAAAGGAAGAGGAGGAAAAGTTATTCTCACAGAACTTTTGACATAACATTTAATTTTAAGAAAATATGTCAAGTATACAAAAATATTAAAATCACATTTCGAGAGATACTGAAAATTTCCAGTAGCTTTTCTAACAATCACAACAATTTGTTATACAACAATAACAATCAATTTAGTCTTTTTTGAAGTGAATACAATTAGTTAAATTAGAAATTTAACATTTAACCTGTTTTCTTTAAGTCATTTTCTTGATGATAAACTTAATAGCTCTGCTTGAAGATCGCGTTCAATGTTCGAGTCTTCAAAATAAAATTTTTAAATTCTCTTGGTTAGCACTATAAAAATTATTATTATTGCAAATAGCAACACTACATCTCACTCCTGACATTTTTACGAGGTAAATTAATAGTTTATATTAAACACTACACTATCAACTTATTAAAAACTATTATCAATAACTAACTAATTACTGCAAAATACCCAAACAACTATGAAAGATTTACTACTTGGAAAAATGCAAAATTACTAGATAAGTCGCATGTAAAAAAACATAAATCCTAAAGACCTAAAGGTTAGAAATCTTTTACGTACCGTGAATAACAAATGGATTTTGATATCAGAATGAAGCGAGGCGAGCGCCATCTGTTACAGAGTGTCCAAAGTTGTAAACGTATTTTATTTTTTAACTGCAATCGGGTGTGTAAATAATTTTTAGTTTTCCATGTCGGTGAATTCTTACGATTTTCAAATATGATGCATTTAAATATTAAACCTTTTCTAGACTTGAATTTTGTTAAGGTACCTTCAGAAAACCTCAAATTTCCTAATGACATATTTTGAATAACCGTTTTGATCTAAAAAAAAGTTTTTAGCCATAAACAATATCTCAAAGAAAATTTTATTTCTCGTAAACTAGCGAATATTTTCTAACCAAACTATGTCATTAAGAGCTCCAACAAATGCTAAACCCTTACAACTTTTCATTTGCAATAAATTTAGTTCCTTTAAATTTATTATCATCTTTGAAATAATTTGTTGGTGGAGCCATCTAGTTTTCCTCTGTCAGAAGTGACCGTCTTAAATGAGTGAAAAGAATTTGTTCTGTCCCTGTAGTTGTCTAGTGAAGCTGTTGTAAAAGCGTACATCACAAGAATAGAGGAAGTAAATCCATTAATAAATGCAGTTATAGAGGACCGGTTTAAGCAAGCAATAGAAGACGCCAAGTATGCAGACAAATTAATATCTTTTGGGACTCTATCTACGGAAGAATTAAAAGAAAAACACCCACTATTAGGTAAGTTAGAAACAGTGCAATATACAAGTAATTTTTTAAGTTGGAATTTTTTAGAATTAAGTTTAATTATTTACATTTATATACATTTTCAAAATGTTTTTGTGTTCTTCTAGGTGTACCTCTCACAGTAAAAGGGAGCATTGAGGTTGCCCACATGAAGATCACCTCAGGGATGCTAACTAGGGCCAATATAACTGCCAAAACGGATGCGGTAACCGTGAAATATGCTAGAGAAGCTGGAGCCATTCCAATACTGACCTCCAATATCCCGGAACTCTGTATGAACTGGGAAAGCGGTAATAAACTTAAAGGGACAACGAAAAACCCTCACAATACCACTAGAACTCCTGGAGGATCCTCCGGAGGTGAGGTAGGTAAACAACTGGATATATATGTTTTGAGTAGTGGTGAGATATAACCTATAAAATATATGCCATGTCTCTAAATGTCCTTTCTACCGACACGTTTGGCATACTGACGAGAGCTACAAATATCTCCGGTCTTAAACCAGTTCTCCTAAACCATAAACCTAAACCATAATCTTAAGCTTAAACATTTCATAATCATGATTAAAATAAATAATTTTTCTCACATTTTTACCGCAAATAATGTTTAAATTGATGAAAAAAAGAAATTCGAAAAAAAATTTTTTTTGTTTTTTTGAAAAACCTTCCGGGCATTGAAAACAACAATATCCAATTGTTCGGCTTTTTCGACCTATGCTTCTGTTCATCAACTTTTAATTAAATTAAAAATAAAGTTAGTTACCCAATCCAGATTTCGACCCCGATTCGTACCGTTTTTTGAGACAAATTTCTAATTAATTTTTGTGCAGTCTGTAATCACTTAAAAAACTACCACATTATCATCTAAAACTCGTGTCAAAATTTTTGCGCTTTGTGCAGGGATAAGTGCCTTAATTGTTCACTGGAACCTAAAATATGGAATCAGTTCATCCAATGAAACACAAATTATGCTATGAGTGTGCACTAGCTTTTCCAATGACCTATTCTAATCTTTAAACTATCACATGTGTCAATTTTAGGCCAGTCTCCTGGCATCGGCCTGTTCGGTCATCGGTATAGGATCCGATGTTGGAGGCTCCTTAAGGCTACCAGCGCACTTCTGCGGGGTGTGGGGACACAAACCATCTCCAGGAGTGGTTTCGTATATAGGACATTATCCCAGTTGTAAAAACGAGGAAGTATGGAAAGCGGTTTTCACGTTAGGACCCATGGCTCGATATGCTACCGATTTGAAACTTCTATTGGAGGTCATCGTTGAACCAGAGATGAAAGACTGCCTGATGCTGAACGAACCAGTAAGCGAATTTACTTTCCTGTAAATGTATTTAAATACATAACACTGGCTATTATAGCTTCCTCAGATTTAGGTCTAAATGTGAAGACCTTCATAAATGATTACAGTAGTAACCAGCAATTTTATTTCCTTTACACTGGCAAATAAATTTCACGAGATTCTATTCAATCAGTCAGCGATCGCATTATTTTGAGCGTAGACCTTACGGTTTGTCATTGTTCATGCTTGTACAGTTTTTTTTAAAATGATAACAAAGTCCAAGTACTTGTTTCTGGGAATACTCAAAATGTGTGACATTTTGAGTATATATTTATTATAAGTATGCGATTGACGTTGATAAATTTATTATTATAATAAATTGCACTCTACACTGTAAACTTATTTTCTCGAAAACTGTTTTATTTATCAAAATTAAAGAAATTTTTCCTGTGAAGATCTGGAATTTAAAGCTTTTCGATTTTTTTCTTTTTTTCCTAGTCACTGCAGAAAACAGACTGACCCCAGACCACATACAAAAGACTGACGAAACAAAAAATAAGACAAAATCACATGTGCAACAGGCATCGTTACGGCTAAAAGGGTAACCCCGTCTCGACATGTGGCAGAAAGTACTGTTGCATCCCTTGCTACGTCCACCCACTCTTGGGTATAGTAGCATACTAAAAAAAAACGGCGAGACTGCCAGATGCAATAGCCTTAATGGCAAAATGTGCAAAGGTTGCAGAGAGTCCAGTAGCTCAGGGAGATGGGCGTGGAGGTGCAGTCTCTATCTCTGCGGTTGCACCAAGGCTATGTTATAAAACTACAAGAAATTATAGCAAAAAAAAAAGAAGGTATAATAATCAAACTACTTTAATGATAAGTAATTATCAAATAACAATTGTTATAACAAAACATGAAATAGCCAAGAATAGCAGATTGGTCAAATATATGGCTGCAATAGGTCAAAATACCCCCGAGAGGGGTGGTCATAAACANGTCTGAATAATAAAAGGGAGGTCGAAGTTCGGGCATGACAGAATAGGGGCTGAAATCAAACAATCCTTCAGGGACCTGAAGGCAGAGTTACAAGCATCATCCCAGATGAATTTTCTATTCTTCTTTAAAAGGTCACAAAGAGGCGCTATAAGGGAAGAGAAATTAGGTACAAACCTCCGGTACCATGAGGCAAGACCTATGAGGCGTCGCACCTCCGTTACATTGCGAGGTGGGGGAATTTTCACAATGGCCTCAACTTTTCCAGGATCCACCATTAATCCTGAGGCACCCACAACGTAGCCTAAATACCGAAGTTCTTGTTTACAAAAGTGGCACTTATCGCGGTTAAGTGTTAATCCTGCATTAGTAATGCGAGTGATGACTTCCTTAAGAATTTCGAGATGACGTTCAAAACTGTCGGTACATATAATTACGTCATCCAAGTAAACGAACACGTACTTTTCGAGGTCAAGTCCGATGACTCTGTCGATGAATCGCTGCCAAGTGGCAGGAGCATTGTGGAGACCCATAGGCATGCGCCGAAACTGGAATAGTCCCCTATTAGGGATGACAAAAGCGGTGAGTGGTTTGGACTCCTCCGACAGCGGAATCTGCCAATATGCGGCCTTGATATCAAGGGTTGTGAGGTAGTGAGCGTCCCTTAATTTATCGAGAGTAGCACTTACGAAGGGTAAGGGGTATGCATCTCGAGCGGTAACCTTGTTGAGTTGTCGGAAGTCTACAACAAATCGGTACCGTCCGTCCTCTTTTTTGATGAGTAATATTGGTGAAGCCCACGGAGAATTTGAAGGCTTCACTACTCCATCAGCTAACATTTTATCTAATTCTTCGTAAACTTGTCTCTGAAGGGCAGGTGAAATAGGATAATGTCTCTGCCTTATTGGCGGGGAGTCAGTACGAATAATATGCTCCACCAAAGTGGTACAGCCTAATTTACTGGGCATGGCTTGGAAAGTGTCCTCTATCATCTGCTCAAGTTGCTTCTATTGTTCTGAAGTAAGACTCTCTGAAAAGTGGATAGCCCCAACTTTTAGGGTATTTACCTCCGAGGGGTTGAGAAATGACCAGCTGCCCGAAAACATGTCGGGTATAATTTGCATTACTCTCCAAAAATCTATCCCTAGTATGAGATCATGAGAGAGTGTAGGAGCTACTAAAACGTCAAAAATTCTGGTTCGACCACTTAAGGTTATTGGGAGGGATACCACTCCAATAACTGGGCATGACTGTCCATTAGCTACCGTACACTCTTGCATGCCGGCCATACTTAATGTACGAGTGGTCTGCAACCATTCCCAACCTGGTCCTCCTATAAAGGTTCTGGTAGCACCAGAATCTAGAAGTCCCAAAACGTCTTTGCCATATATACTGACATGCACGTATGGTCGAGTATCATTTCTCGCATGAGCGAGAATAAAGTCAAGGATACATTGAGACTTAGGATCAGCCACTAAAGCAGGATCGTGGTCGCCCTCGCGGTCTAATGGTGACCTCTCCTGTCGTTTTTTTGACAATGAGGACATGACAACACTGTGACATTGCCCAAACCACACCGGAAACAAAACTTCCTACGGGGTTTATCACAGGCTCGGAACTTGTGTGGGTATTTGCTCCATAATTCCAACAAGAGGAAGGAGGATCAACAGCTGAACATCCTAAATTAGGTGTCGGGGAAATGGTTGAAATTACTGCAGAAGGTTGGAAAGTCGATGGTTGAGGTTCCCGGACCTCTTGGATAGTATTGATGGAGGCGGTTGGTTGGTTGCACGGTCTTCTATATCCTAATTCTGGTTCTAGTAAACTTCTGTGATTGCTTGGAGGTGGTACAAACTTTTGGATTATTCCTTCAGTTTCCTCCACGATTCTACTGAGACGGATTAGTTCGGATATAGAATAGATGGAATGGGTGGCTAATTGCATTTGGATGTAGGGTAGGAGATTTCGCTTGATCAAGTTCAATCTGGTTTCTTCTGATGAAAGCTGTGACAGTTTTCGGAACAAATTCTCCATAGCAGAGACAAAATTGACAACCTTCTCTTGAGCCCCTTGTGTCCTGTGGCGAATTTCGTCCCACAGCATGTACTCGTAGTCATGAGGCTGAAATGTGTCCTTAAGTTGCGCAGTTAATTCATCCCATGTTTTAAAGTATCCTGTTCGGTACCAGATTAAAGCCTCTTGGGTGAATAGTTCAGGTGCCGATCTCAGTAGTTGCTCCTTCGTCACACCTCTAGAGATGCGTAACTCTTCAACTCTCTCCAAAAAATCATTCACACTGGTTCTGCCATTGAAACGTAAGTTCCATCGTCCGATTTCCGGAACCCTGGGTCGAAACTCGGTGATTGGCAACCTTGAATGAATTGGAGAAAATTGCAAATCCTCTAATTGGGCAATTAAATCGTTCCCCGGAACAGTAGTTTGTCCACCACTATCACCAGAATAACATCTTCCGTCTACTTGTCTCGATAATCCAGGAACTGGAGATGCAGCATTATCAAAACGGACGCGTGGTTTCGTTACTGAGCTTGTACCTTCAATTGGAGGGACTACTGGACGAATATTTTCCGGACCAAACTGCGAAGGGTGAGTCACTCTCGACTGTGGAGATTGCTGAACCATCCCATTAGACAGTAGCTCTTCTCTTCGACAAGGTGTCCCTTCATTCCTAAGAGGGGGAATATCAACCAAGTCATAGGAAACTCCTGCAGCTACGTTTGGAGGTGCAACCACTTCTGGTATAAGAAGATTGTCCTGATCTAGAATTGAACGGTGGGGAATTTCCTCTACAGGTGAGACAACTCCTTGCGCGCCTGCTTGGCTCGTCGATAGACCTTCATAAACCAAATTGAGATTACCTATCAATTGTGCACACCTTGCTACCAGATCAGACCTTACCTTTGTCTGACTTTGTTCTTGACAAGAAATTCTTTCCAATCTCAAAGCGATGTGCAATAGACGAGAATAAATTCGCTTGAAGTCGTTTTGCCTATTATTGTGATCAAAGTTAACAATAGCTAAATTTAATTCTTCAATTTTCCGGGAACAAATCGTCAATTCATTTTCAGCGTCCAAAGGAACCCTTTGAGGCGCAGCCGCAAAATTCAATCTCTCCTTTCGGAAAACTTCCCTTAGAATATTTCGTTTTCCCTCAACAGTATTCCCTATCGGTAAATTCCTAATGCACAATTCGTATGCTAACTCGTCCCCAAGTAATCTATTGACCTCCATATTGGAAATGAAATTAAAAAAAAATCGGTAGTGATTGATGTCAATTATCACAACCCTGACCCTGACCCTTAGAAAAAGCAAAAAAAAAAGAAAAAAAGGACCGTTACTTTACATACGAAATGAGTATAGAACGTATTTCAACACAAAAGAAAAATCCGATCTAAGATCAAAATTGTCAATAATAATTATAACCTATTTTTTTTTCAATAACTTAAAAACAATGTAACCAGTTTAATCCAATTAAATTACAAAATATCTAAACCGCAAGGATTCGACTAACTCTAAATTTATTTTAATTACCACCTTATCTAAATTTAATAGTCGATTATCACGTAAAAAACCTAGTTAATACTAATAAATTAAATAACTAATAAAAATACTAAAATGTATTATGTACAATTAAATACACAAAGTATCTCAGAACCCGAAATCCCAAAAATATACCAATGCACCTATGTAATTGTCATGGCAATATTTAATTTCTATAGTTATTTATTGCAGTGTTACAAAAAATGATGAATAAACATTTCAAGTTTAATTAACGTTAAGCTCCCCAATAATCTGCAGTTACTACAAATAATCAACAAACCAATGAAATTGGCACATTAATGTCCACGCATGCGTAAGCCTACTCCAGTACCAGTTTACATAAAATCATACAGTTAGCATATAACCTCAAAATTGGTTACCCAATGTCATAAATTCGACCAATCAGCCAACCAGCACTTTCATGAGAAAGAAATGAGAATTTCGTCCAATGCAATAAAAATAAAAAATATCAAAAGTTGGGCGCCAAGTTGCTACGTCCACCCACTCTTGGGTATAGTAGCATACTAAAAAAAAATGGCGAGACTGCCAGATGCAATAGCCTTAATGGCAAAATGTGCAAAGGTTGCAGAGAGTCCAGTAGCTCAGGGAGATGGGCGTGGAGGTGCAGTCTCTATCTCTGCGGTTGCACCAAGGCTATGTTATAAAACTACAAGAAATTATAGCAAAAAAAAGAATGATAATAATCAAACTACTTTAATGATAAGTAATTATCAAATAACAATTGTTATAACAAAACATGAAATAGCCAAGAATAGCAGATTGGTCAAATATATGGCTGCAATAGGTCAAAATACCCCCGAGAGGGGTGGTCATAAACAAATACGCGGGGTCCTAGACACCTCTAGGGTAAATATGCAAAATGAAGTCCCTTTTAGTATATATACTGGCAGGTTTACAGTCGTAACTAAGTGAACAAAGAAGGCTTTAAGGGAAAATAATAGTTCAATAATTTAACTAATTAATGAGTAGAGAAATGAATAAGACCTTGTGTCCGGTGTTTTTAGGTTACAAGCGGGCGAAGCCTCGCCGCCTGGGTCGGATGTCCTGGTACCTTCGCCCTGGTCTGTCGCCTGCACGTTCGCCTCCGTGCCTGGGGCTCGTATTGTACTGCAGTACTATTGGGGCTCTCTCTCTCCACAGTATATTTTGCAATTACCAGCAATTAAGGGCAGCCACACGGGGAAAAAAAAAAAAGGCCTAGAAATGAACGTAGTTGAGGGAAATAAACGTTAATGCAGGTGATTGAATCCACCTCACAAAAGTTATATAAATGGCTTGACAGAATTAATGGAAAAGAATGTATTTAGATACCTTGGATATTGGGCGGCCTTTCTTGCAATTTTTATGTGTTGCACAGTACAATTGCAAATCCAGATTAACACTGCTATCTATCAGCGATAGATACACTAATCAGTAAAATGCAACACACTTTTAATTAACTTTAATTTACATAAATCCACAAGCTGCGTGAATGACTGCTATCTTTCAAGACAGAATTCGTAGTAAATCGTCAATTTTATTTCAGTGCGAAAAACTAAACATCTTTTTGCCTATACTCGACGGCGATAAAAGTGTATTTTAAAGGTTTCTATTAAGATTATAATATATTGCCGAAATTTACTGAATTTAAAAGTACTTAATTATTTATTTTAAGAAAATCTTAAGCCATTTATTTATTTTTTTTTCGTATTTAATTTCAACCTCAAACCGTTCATTTCTGGTTCGTGCAGTAATGTTTTAAATATTGCCATCACTACATTACATTCGTCTCTATACCGGGCGACAAAATAGACCCGTAACACCCTTTGATGCGACGACTAAAAACCGATAACTGATGGTTCGTCCCGGATTAGTTAGGCGTGTCAAGTTTGTTACACGTACCATGTAACAATTTTCCGTCTCCCCTAGCTGTAACGTAACATGTTCGGTGTTACGTTACGGGACATTTGACACAAATGGATACCCGCCTTTATAAACATGGATAATTTGTATTCTAGCAAAAAGCAAAAATATAAACAGTATTTATGTGACGTATTATGATAATAATAAAAATTCGCCCGATAAAAAAGTTATCGAAAATTCAAGTTTTTCCATTTCAAGTCAAAAAGTAAAAACGTTGTTCAATTTTGCATGAATAACTTCTTCGATATGTTATTGGTCATTGAATTCTTCAACTTTGTCCTCATTTTGACAAACTTTGTTTTCTATACGATAACCGTGATCTCCGTAATCAAAAACATCCGTTATATCACAAAAGTAGTCTTAATCTTTTAAATTAAAATATAAGTTGTTAAAAATTAAACAGAATTGCAAAAAATTTTTAAAAATATATTGGTATTTACCACAAATTTTTCAAACAGTAATAAACGCTTAATAAAGTTAATATTTTAATTTATGCATATTCACTTTTGTCTTTAAAGTTTACAGAAATGTTATTGAATTATATGTTTATGTTCATTCTATACCTACATTTTAATGAAACATTTACATTTAAATGTATAAGAAATCTCCCAGACTAGATGAGAGAAAAGAAATTTAATTTTGGTTTTCAGGTGAATCTTAAAGACATAAGGGTATTTTTCATGGAAGATATCGAATCCTCTTTGACAACTAAAGTTAGCGATGACTGTTTGGAAGCCCTGCATCAGGTCATTGATCATTTCAACACTCTCTGCTACAACAACTGTAAAAAGGTAGTACTTTAAAGTATTTAAATCGAGCAACTTCTGCTCTGTAACTGAGTGTAAACCTGTGCATTTTCAAACAAAATAAAATAAATAATTAAAAATAAGCTACATACATTCTATAGTACGATCGTATACGATGCAAAGTAATAAATCATTGCCTGTCAAGGGAATCAGTGCAACACATTTTATATGGGGTTTTGGAAATTGAATAATTTCTTTATGCATTATGGATTAACAGTTATATATTTATGAAGGACAAAATGAAAAACAAAGGCATCTCCTTCGCACATTGGGCGGCAGGACAACAATACATTTATTACTCCCTTCGTTCTCCCTCATATGACTTGTGTCTTGTGTTTTTTGCGGCGGCGCGCGTGCCGGCCTGGCGTGGTTAGTTTCGTTTCGGTTGTATTGGTGCTGCGTGTTTCTCGCTCGCGATATTTGTGAGGTTATAACTGTTATAAGTGCAATTATATTTCTTTCGGGCTATATGTGTGTTTCGCGCTATTATTTGAGAGTTTGTGAGTGAAATCATATTTCTTGTGCTCCGTAGCAAAAGTGTTTTTAGTGTTTTATTTGTGTGCTGTTTGTGTGTTTCGGGCTGTTGTTTGTGAATCGTGAATGCTATTATATTTTCTGTGCTAGTGAAGTGAAGTTTTTTGTATTATTATTGCTCTGTTGTTGTTATATGGAGAAATGGAGGCGATGCCTGGATGTTCGCGAGCCGGATGTATTGCTGTGGCTACAAAATAATCTATATTAAGTTACAGAGAAAAAACGATAATATTAAATGTCTATAACCCTTTAGAAAAGGATCATCCCATGAAACTGAAGACTGGTTTGGTGGAAATGTGTTCTAGATATACTGGAGTAAGCGAATTATCTGTTTTCAAAATTTTAAGAGAGAAGAAAATTGAAGGAGACGTTAAGAAACCTAAAAAAGAGGGTGGAAAGAAGAAATTAACATTAAATGAAGATGAGAAAAATGCAGTTTGGCGTACAGTACATAAATCATAGAATTTATATTTTGTTTATAATTTGTTAACATTTCTTGTTTGATAGAAAAATAATTTATTTTGTTGAGATTGGTAGAGAATTGTTGTTAGTGTTTTCATTTGATAGAATCATATAATAGGATTTATATTTTGTTTCCATTCTGTAAATATTTATAGTATATCTGTTATACAAGGTTTTTGCTTTGAAACTTCGTTCTCCTTATAAAAAAAAGAATCGTAATGGGGTGCGATGAAGAGATCAGTTCACGTCTGGAACCCTGTTCCTACAAAAATCCCTTTATTCTCATAAACTATTTGTTTTAAATGTAATTTATTATAAATCCAATTCGTTATTTAAATTCCACATATGTGCTACATTTCACCTCTGTACGCGCCTCTCTTTATTGTTCCCTGCTCTACGATCAAGCTCGCCAGGTTAGTATTTGACGTATAACCGACCACTTCGTACACTCGATGCACCTGGCCGACTACAGCTAGTACCAGAACACAGTGCGAATGCGGCGGTATTTCAGATTTTACATTCAATTTCATTTTAAATTTGAAACGGTTCATCTTACGCCTCCTAAAAATGATGACACGATTTTCCTTTGATAAAAGACCGACAATTTTTTGCTCTACTTTGCATCGTTTACGATCGTACTATACTATATCTACACAAAAATCAAATATTTTTACAAAAAGAAGTTTTAGAGCATATTGTAGAAAATAAAGGACACTGAAAAATTCTCAAACGAATCTAGTTATGGAAAGTCATTAACAACAAGAACTTTTTAGGTAAAATTACCTTTAATGAAACATGCTCCAGAAATAGCAGCGTTGAATCTCTTGGACATTGACGACGTCGACAATCTTTTTGAAGGCCGAGGAGAAGGCAGTTACAAAGAGCTTTTCAAATACGCAACTGGTAGGTCAGAGTCCACCCTCAACGTAGTCCTATATGGCGTCTTAAGAAGGTTCGTTGGTTACCTACCTAGATCGCTATTTGAAAACATCAAAGGGACATTAAAGGATCTGAAAAGTGATTTCGTCAAACTGTTGGGTAATGACGGAGTCTTCATAATTCCTACTAGTCCTATGGAAGCTTGTTACCACGGAGATATGGTCAGAAAAACACTTGATGCCAGTTATCTGTATATATTCAACGTTTTAGGTTTGCCAGTAACGAACTGTCCCATCAGATTTACCAGAGACGGACTGCCCATCGGCGTACAGGTAGGTACATGTTGTTTGTACATAGACTGGATATTTCTCAATGACTGTTGTTCATTTTATCCCAAAAATAAATTATGTATAAGATTTTTTGATTCTCCAATTGTGTCTCATCTTAACGAAACAGCCGGCAAATTCTGTTCTTTAACTTAATTTTTACGTTTCTTTGTTAGAAATAATATTAATTGTTTGTTGAAGGTCGTTGCAGCGCCAAACTGTGATAGGCTAACGTTAGCAGTAGCAATGGAGATAGAGAAAGCCTTTGGGGGTTGGAAACCACCAACCGCTGTTAATAGTCGGTGACTGTACTACCTAATTAGTAATTCCTGTTTTGTATGTTATATAAAGTTTTGTTTTTCTTTTTACGTTGTTTCGTTTATTTTTTCCCATAATCCCGCATTTTCTTAGGCCCCTGTAGCAAATTTTGATTTGTATATTATACTGATTATTAAGCATATAAATAGTAATACAAGGCCGATTTAATATTAGACCGTTTTGCAGTTATGCAATGAAAATTGACAAAAACTCTACTAAGGTTTTCATCATAATATGTTTTACATACTCTTCAATTTTGAGTATGTACTTATTTCCTTAATACCTTATATAATATTATTTTTAATAAATTAATAAACAAAGGGCGGTATGAACGGTCCCCCAGATTTCGTGATATGTATGTACACTGTCCCACGTCATCGTACTGCTCAATTTCAGAAGTCATAATTTTTAATAAGTTCCGCTCTGCCATTCAATCTGCTTCTAGTTTTGAAAAAACAGGTCAAATCTTATTTTTCTCATGCATGAATTCATTTGTATATTTTGTATTTCCCTTTTTTTATAATCGTACTTAATTAATATGTATTCTAAGGGAGTGGTTAGGTGATAGAGCAGCAATCATGTTGGGTATGAAATTGGCCCCAAAAAGTACACATTTCCGAACGATTTCAGAAAAAAGATATTGTTTAATTTGTATTTGTCACATTGCCAAGTTTTTTGGAACGATTTTCTAAAACAATCGAAATGAAATTTAGAATCAAATGAAACAATATGTATAACGTATAGATGACTTTTTATAGACAAATAATTTTAATAAAATAATAATAAAATTTTAAGAAATAAATACAATATACATAGTTATAAAAAAGGGTAAAATTTGGAAATATGTAATTTTATGGAAAATTTAAACATTCTATTAGCTTGATTAAAAAAAAATTGTTATATTATTATCTCTCTTATCTTTACTCTGTTGTAAATGTGTTCTGCTAATTCAATAATTCTTCTAAAAAGTCTATCAAATGAAGTCAATGTACTCTTTTAAGATATTCTAATGAACAATTCCGTGTTACTCAATTGTACAAAACATTGTTTTAATTATATCAACAAATATTTTTAAATGAATACAAAGAATTCTTCAGAAACGAATAAGATTCATCTCTGCATTAGTTATCGGTTATTTATCCAATAACTATTCGACAATACTATGCTGTTGGAACAATAATCATTTTATAACATTTAAGTAACCCAAAAAAAAAACAAATAAATGTCATATCATTTTATTGGTATCCCTTCAAATCATGCACAAAAGTATTATTTTCTCTCAGGGGGTTGCTCCGTATTTCCATCCACAGCAACCAATATTATAGTTGCTCCTTCTGTGTGGTCATCACCCCTAATAAGCAAAATGGGGAAATTAATCACAAAATTTAGTTGTTTATATAAATTTGTTGTATTAAGTAAAGACCTAAACTAATAAAGCTAATAACAACGGAAACTCTAAAGCGGGATAGAGGAAATCAGGAAATAAGTAGGTAAAAGAGATAAAGTAGATCTACCATCTGGTTGAATTATCTTACAGTCAAAAAGGCATTAAATTAGCACAATCGTGCATAATTCGTTGCTACTGAACAAATTCTACAATAAAAACAGCAAAAATGGCGTGTCCCCTTCTTTGGTTAATTATACCAGTATAAATTTTTAATTTTCATATTTTGACAAGAAGTTATTCTTCATACAAATATTTGCTTGTATTGAAATTTAGAAATATAGTCTTATAATTCCAAAAATGTCTGGGTTGTTCAAAATCAAGTAGAATTTCTCACTTCAATATTGTGAATAATTTAAATGTAAACATTTTTTACATTCAAATGCTTCACAAGTGGGAAATTCTGCTTATCGATTAAGTTTTGCTTCATATTGAGAGAAATACGGCAATTTTATAAAGTAAAACTAATTTGGTCGATATTAGAAACAAATTTTGTTAATATCATTTTTTGAATCTCTTAAAATAAAGTCACGTCAGTTTCGACGTCATTTTAGTCTAGAGGTATGTTTGAGTCGTCGAATTTTTGAGTACACCGTACAATTTTTTGGGTTATAATACTATTTTCCAAAGCTACAAAACCAGCAAAATTTTGTTTTCTTTATTTTTTGGGCATTTTGCCGCCTGTGAAAATACGCAAAAACTAAAAAAAACGAAAACTATGCACCAAATAAATAACATACAAGCAAATATTTTCGAAAAGAGTAACTTTTCGTCGAGAAATGAAGAATACATTTTTTTATAAGTACAGACATCTGAGGAATGAATATAATTTTTTGTAAACAATTAGTAAATCGCAAATAAAATGTGAAATGCCGTTTTTAGTTTCTTAATGAAAAACAGTTAGAAATGAAGAATCCGAAATGGGGAGAGTTGCTTCATGGTAGTTGCATAAATATTGTGTACAATACTTCAAAATCTAACCAGTGGCCTCAAACTTAGGAAGAGGTAGGGAGATTTTAATTCCAAAATATAATCTCCAAGGTCGAACAGCATAACCGAGACAATCTTTTACAATTACAATTGTGGTGACAGATCATATCCAACAAAAAATTTCTTCCCTCATAAAATACATCGTTGACAAGTGTAGATTTTTTTCCCTAAGAAAATCCCTTTTCGCACCCTAAAAATGATCGCAATTACGGCGTGTTTTTTCGAGGCCTAGAGACCCTTTCAAGAAATAAAAGTTAAAATTTCTCAATAAATAAAAAGTTACGGGAGTTACCGAGCCCACTTTATACACAATTGTTTTTCTACTTACGAGGAGGAGCGTACTACTACCGAATCATCATGATCCCCCGATGCAGCATTCTCCGGACGAGCACAGATGCTAGTCAAGCAGGCCGTAATGACCAAAACCTAGAAGAAATATTTGTTCTATAAACACATTACATAATATGAAATTCTTACCAAAAAAAGACGGTTCATTTTTTTAGCGCAATTATAGGTACTCTAGAGTAGATGCTGGCGATGAATTGTCCAGCTCACACATTGCAGCTTTATATATAGAAAAAGTGGTGAGACACATGATTTTTTTTATCAGTTTTATTGCACATTCCTTACGGTCAAATCATAAAAGCATTATTCATCGAAACAAAGGAAAAAATCACATACAATTGGTAATTATTCTTATTAGCAGTTAATGGGTAAATTAAAAAAAATATATCACTTACATAAACCCATATTGATTAGTTGAAGCCCAAAAACAAACAAGTAAATTGTTGTATACTTCTATATAGGGTGTTTCAAGATAATTGGACAAACTTAAAATCTGAATAGTTAATTTTGGACATATAAGAAAAGACTGTCCAGAAACTTTTTGTTCCAAGATATAGGATGTTCAAATTCGACAGATGATCGACAATGATCCATAGCAAAAAAATCGCCTTATTTTTTAATGTTCAATTATCTACTATATAAATTTTTTTCACTTATTTCCGCACTCATTAGGCAAAGTTTACTTTTCACATTTTGTTTTGGCTATTTTAAAAAAATCGCACCAAGTAGATCTCATCACTATAAAACTCTATCCACTTTGTATGTGAATAGTAAACTGTTTTTTTCTTTTAATTCTTCCAGTAATGTTATAACAAATTATTGTATGGAGTTTCGATGTAGTCAAAAAAATGAATGACGATTTTAATACAGAAAATACAAAACTAATGATGGCAACAATATGGATACCCTGTCAGATATGTCAGAAAAAAGCTACTACTAACCAAAAAAATACCTACATGGGTGTTAATGAACTTATATCAAATAATAATTTTAAAATCTGACTTACTTCAACACTGCAAGGAGCCACCTTTTGAGAACTGCTGATTTTCATAGATTTTCGATGTACCCACCATTTGCTTCAGCGTATCCAATTCGCTCGCACGCGTTGCAACATTGCCACATCCTCTTGAATCATGTTATAAGCTTCAGCAATACGATGTCGCAGTTGGTCAATGTCACGAACTTCCGTGGAATACAACACTTTTCACATATCTCCACAAAAAGAAATCTAAAGGGGGAGATCCGGGGACCGGGGGGACATCTAACTAGGCTGCCGCGGCCTATCCAGCGATCAGAAAAGTAATATTTAGAAAGTCGAGCACTCTCCGAAAAAGTGAGCGGGGGCTCCGTCATGTAGTAACCACATATTTGCCAAACATTTAATTACATGTCTTCCAATAACTCTGGTAAGCGATTTTGCAAATCTAGATATGAGGCACCATCTAAGCGTCTAGGCAATTCTATTAAAGTGCCATTAACGATACCGGCCCACACGTTCACTGAAAACTGTCGTATTTCATGTGGATTTTCGATAAGCAAGTGGGCATTTTCGTTTACTTCGCCATAAATTATGAACATATCATAATATTTACGATTGCTAAATACATGCCACTTTTCAAAAGAAAACTTGAAAATACGGCTATTAAAAGTACACTCGAAAAACAGCACAGCAATCACTACAACAATGTAGGACAAATTTACTTTCGAATACAGTCCGGCTTGATAAGAAACCTACAAATTCGTAAAAAGTGTTACAGAATTTTTTGTAAGTACTCCCCTCGATAAAACAAATGTATTTCAGCAGTTCCGAAACAGTTGTAACAAAAGCCGGGAGGCGTAGTCATTTATTTATTAGTTCTCAGAAAGTAAAATATTTTCGTCAACACACAAATTATCGAAAGTTGAGAGTAGGTAGCGTCGTCCTTCGGAGAAATTTACCAATATTTTTAACAAGTTCGCTTAGAGTCGGGGCCATGTGACAGTCATCTGTTGCGTCTGGGAGGCGCCAGCGTAGAAACCCATATTTTTAACAACGCGCGAAATCACGAGAAGAGCGTAGAGGTTCCAAAGTAGAATTAATTCAAATTGTAAATCGAAATCGAATTCGAAAAGAGAGTAATAGCTGTTTTTTTGACGGATTTCCCAAGCTATAAGAGTAGGTTAAATGAGATCGACTAATCCGTCCCGTATTCGCTACGCGGAGTCACTAGAGGAAGGCTAGGATTATTTGTTAGTTTAGTCTCAAAATTATTTAGATAAAGGTAAAATCAGTCAATTAGATAACTATTAACATAGTATAGTTATACCAAGCGTCCCGATATTCAGCTCCCCGCCAATAAGATAAGAACAGAAACTTCTGAACCCAAGAAATGGGCGTGTCGAAGTGAGGTGGAATTCAGGAAAGATCTCGAAAAAGTCAGTTCTTCCTTGGGTTCCATATTGAGCAATCGACTTAGTTTGGAGTCTCGGGCTAATTAATTAAATTTAATAATAGATAAAGTTTTTCCAAATTTTGCTATGAAGCGCGCATTTCCTGAATCTCGCTGTCGCGTGTCAATAAATTAATTAATAATGTTGTTCGAGTCGTTGTGTTGTTATTTTGTTTGTTTGTTTTGTTTATTGTTATTAAAACCCTTTCTGAAAGTTTTGGTGTTTCCTTTTGTTTCTCTCAACTGTATAACCAGCCAATGGATTACATTCTACGTAAGCAATAGAGGGTAAGTGCCTGAAATTCATTCTCTGAGCATACAACATTTCTAAGTTCCCACGTATTAATTAAAAGGTAATGATAATTATAAACTCCCTTTCGAGAATTAAATAGTAAACTCTTGTGAAATCGAGACACGTTATAATACTGGTTATAATAGATAATTTAAGAAATGACCCCTCAGGTTACACACTTTTAAACACATTTTTAATTAGCTTTTTTCTCTATGTCCTTAAACTTCCGATACAAGTTTGTGACATCAGCTAACTCCGTTTTTGCTCCCATTTCACCTCTTTTTTGACATAAGTTCATTAACACCCTGTATAATAAGTAACAGTTTCATAAATAAATATTGTAAGTGCTCTTAAATTTATCAAATAAATTAACTAAATAATTGCTGTAATAATACGTTTAATGTTCTTAAAGAAAACTTTTGAGGCAAGTAAATTTAACCCAGCCCTGTCCCGCAGAGTGACCCTTCGCATGCTGAAGCAATTCTTAGGACAGAAGGTGGAAGAATTTTAACATGCGGTCGAAAACCCTTGTCATCTGCCGTATATTCCACTTCATATGCAGTGCCATCAGGAGCAATATAGGAGTAAACTCCCTTAACAGCTAGAGCTTCTTCTGGCGTGCCAATATTTTTCATTTCACCCGTAGCCTCGTGGTGGATGCCATCGCTTGTAGAAAAACTGAAAATCAAAAACATTTTGCCAACGTGCATGGTAGACCAATTTTGATAGTTGTGAGAGATATCTTATATTTCTCGAAGAAATGGACAAGAAATAGTTAAAGGGTCGATTTAAGAAAAAAAATTGAATTTAACCCCTTTAATATGTAAGTTCTTGCGTATTTGTGGTACCTATATGATATTTAAGAATATTTTTTTGTACCTCACATATAGATGATAAAAGAAACTGCATTGAATGGGTTTATTTAGCATATTTTTTATTCGTATTTAGAAAATATCGTCATAGCTATTTAAAGTGCAAAAAATCCTATTTTTTTCAACAACCTGATACTTAACTGCGTCCTACAATCGATCGTCATATGTATATTTCTATAATCTTAAATGACTACAAATTTACTTATTGCTTACAAAAAATAATTAATAACAAATACTTAAGATAAATAAATGGCCAGAACAAATACCAAACGCAGAAAACTATGCATATGTGACGCACGAATGTTATTTGTGTCGTTCTTACAATAGTATGGCACGAGACAAATGCATTTATCTTATGGTTGAGTTACTTGAGTTACTTATTAAGCCCACAGATTCCATTTTTTGCACCAGACAAAAAGAGTACGTTTTAAACATCTGCAAAAATACGGTAATAACTTAATATAATCGCTAGTAGCACACTGAGTCGTCGGTTCGAGCCAGTCGAACGGTATGACGTCACAGATGCTCTGAACCGTTTCAAATATTTTACGAATTAGAAATGATTTATCATTGTTAATATTAAAGCTATCAACTTGATATTTTCCTATAAATTTAGTGGGTTGAGTGAGTACGGCAAACGTAAAAGCAAGTTGTAAAATAAGCCCGTTGAATCATAGAACATAAAACAACAACAAAAAAGTTGTATATTACAGGGGCGTAAGATTAACAGTAACTGTTAATTTTTGAAAACTGTTTTCAAAGTACAGCGAATATTAATATTGGGGAGTTTCATCACAACGTGACAACAGCGCTTAACCTGCTGATGCACACCATGTGTACACGTCGCAGACTTGTCCTACGGAAAAAATGTAAACAACTATTATTGTAAAACATTTAGTAAATTTCAAGACAATTGTTTTCCAGCTTCTAAATAAATAAAGTAAAATGCATCGATTCTGTAGTACGAAGAAAGTGTTGTGCTTAAATTTTAGCTCGAATTTTAGTAATTATGAATCTCTTAAAACAGGAACTTGACATTTAATCAAATTATGAATTTGAAAAATATGTAATTAAAGTACCCAAAGATTCACGTCCTCCAAATAATCATACGTATTAAAAATAATTTAGGTACTTATCAAAAAGCAAAATTCAGTAATTTTTAAACCCACAAGTACAAAATAATCTACAACATATGCTCAAAATGTCCACCACCATTTTCAATGCACGCACGACACCTCCCTCAAGAAAAGGAAATAGTGGTACGAAAAAACACTCCGACACGGTCGAATCCAGATACCAACTGAATTGCGTAATGGTGGTTGCTTGACACCTTAATACCTCGTGTTAATAAACCGCTGCGCCGTTGTCACATTGCTCGATATGAATTTAATCGATTTTTTTTTGTTTATTTTACAGTATTCTATCGCCTGTTAAAATTAAGACAGTCAAACTCCTAACACCCTGTATAGTACAACCCTCTTTATCTCTGTACTTAAGGACCACCTTACACAGAGCAATTAAAATGTACCACATTAGCATCAACGTTTTGATCGGCCAAATTTTCAAAAAATTGTAGTTTTTTTTACCTAAATACCAAAATATATGTGTGCATATTTTAAATGATATAGTAAAAAAAAATAAATAATTCCCGGAACTCAGTAAAAAATATGCAACAAATATAATTTTAGTTAGAACAAGAAAAAGTACAAAAATTTAAAAACTGAAGAATGTTGTTCTATGTTCCTGTCCTAATTTAATTTTAAGTTTAGTTTATATATCTTTTACATTAATCAGATACCAATCTAAAATTTTTCCTTAAATTAACCTTAAAACTATATATAAGTTTAAACATTTTGATTCTATACATATTGGAAAAAATATCTGAAAACAATAGCTTTAAATAAAAATTCCACATAGTTGAATAACTTCAAAACAGGTAGCTACGTTACGTCGTCGGTTTAGATATTTCGAGAGACATACAACTCTTCAGAAGAAAAAAATATGAGAAGCAACGTCAAGAAATCTAAACCGATGACGTGGCAACTCTGAAAGCTAAAAATGCCACATACCTAAACGAAAAGCCTCCTGTGTCTGTGAGTTCAAATTTGTTCTTAATTACTTCAACTTGCACAGGATTTTGGGGTTGAGCATATACACTATTCAAACAGGCACAAAGAAATAATATCTAAAAGCAAAAACACGGCGGTTAGAAAATCGTTATAAAAACTAACTTCTCGTACATCTTAATTTCTGATATTTTCTTTTTAATTTCTAAAATTTTGATTCGTAGATTGAAAAGAAAATGAAAGGATAGGGATATTCATATCCTATTCTACCTCCCTTACCTTTTTTTATTTTTTATCTGGAAGAAAAATGGTAAATGTTGTTAGGAAATTTCCTTGCGATATCGAAGAAATATACAATAAAAGAACAATTCACCGATTCCATAGCAATCTTGACTTTATCCGTTGTGGAGGGTCAGTGAATAAACCAGTTTGCAAATTATCAAAGCAAATTACATTATAATCAGAAAAACAAAGGATTTATAAAACGACAAATACACAGACTGTTTCATTTATAGAAAATAAAAGTTTGATTAGCATCTCTGCCTGAAGCGGAACATTCAAATGTGTCCTGTATGTATTTATTTAAGGTCACCAGAAACTTGGTTTTTGCCATTATTTTCTATAATAAAGCAAAAATAATAATGGGGTAAAATGTGTGAAAGTCTCTGTAGAATAACTTACTACGAATATTTCAGAAACAAAAAAGGATGTCAAATAAAGATCAGGATAGATAAAAGAATCTATATTTTAAAATTAATTTCAAATATATAGGGTCATGTATAAAGCGTAGGTAGTTCTATTATATGGTGCAGGTATCTCTGATTAGAAATGGAAACAAAAACTTTTGTTGCGTTTTTATAAAAACCACTTTTCACTCAAAAAGTTTTCAAGAAATCAAGTTGTACAGAACTTCACAATAACATAATTCAAAACATCGTAAGGGTATTTCAATTGATTAACAATTTAACGCAAAATTTTTCGTATTTTTTCGATATTTTTTTTAACGTATCAGCATTTATTTATATTTTTTAATTTCCCTACGACGTTCCCTAACATCAGAAAATTTTGTGTTTTTTTTTGTTCCAAGACTATCTGTTAATAAGAAACCTTTCCGGGCATACAGCCCACTGGATAAAAAGTGTCATTGCTTGAATCCAAATCAGTTGAAAAAATTGACAATACTACCTACCTACCTGAAAACATATACAATAAAGCCTTTTTGTTCATGACGCTATATCCTATTTAGAACGATTAGAAATAGAATTTTTATCCCCTTCAACTTTTATTTAATTTTTTTTATCTGAAATAGTATTAGAATATTTTTTTCAATAATAACAACAATTTATTAGCCTAAAGAGCTAAATTACATTGAAATAACTAAATAATATAATTATGAAAACCTCAATAATATCAGAAGAACAAAAAACAAAAGAAAAGAAGAAATATACTTAACCAAAGACATATATCTTAAAGCAAAGAGAGGCATTAATTACGATCATGGTTTACTATACTCATACATAACATTTTAACTGAACAATCGTTTATATTGCAAGTGTTACAGATAGAATTAAATGTCTTGCACATAAAATAAACTGATAGTGTCTTATCACAATGGTCTACCGAAAAAAGTATTTTTTCTTTTATAAAGAATGCATTTGTTTTTAATTATATTAATTAATTAAATTAAATTAAAATAAATTAAATTTACTAGGAATCGAATACGCTTAAAAATGGTTCAATGTCAATTTACGATAACAACAGTTACTGTCTTAATTACAATTTTTTTCTTTGTAATCAAAGAAGTAAGTATAAATACCTAATTCTCTTTTTGTCGTGGCCATTATTAAAAACTTGTTTTACCCCCTTCTCGACGAAGTGGAAGACACAAATATATAAGACTGTTTTTATGTGGTTTCTAATACTTACCATTTTCATGTTGAAGGTAATCACGACTGAGGTAATTCCGCTGGCTATCATATATAATGTGTTCGTCCTTAGTCAAGTAACTTTTACGCAATATACGGCATCCCACACCTCTAAGAATCTAGGAAATCCAATTTTAATTGCACTCTTTTAAAACATTGTTGTTTATTCATTTTATTTATACATTTATTGGCAAAAAGACAGGAACAACACATAAGACCTCAGATCAAGTGTTTAAAGTCAAGATAATTATAATATACTATATGCTTTTGTCATTAAGAAGACAATTTTAACCTAGTCCCGTGCCACAAAGCGATGCAATACAGCCAATAGAGAAATCTTCTAGCAGTTCTTCTATTTTATAGGGTGCCGTTGTTGTCGCTTTAAACTGTGGTATATGGTCACCGATTGGTTGGAATCCGTTTTTATCAGCAACGTAGGTAATAGTATACACAACACCATCGGGAGCCATGTATGAATATGTTCCTGTTATAACTAGAGATTCATCTTCACCACCTGCTTTGTCCAAACGTCCTTTAACATCGTGGTGAAAGCCGTCACTTGTGGCTACACTGTAATATACATTTCTTAAATAATCACAGCCCCACAAAAAAAATTCTGTGCAACGGACTAGACCACTGTATCTTTATGACCTTGACCCTGTCAGGGTAGGTTAAAGCTCATTTCAAGGTGAAACCGAGACAAATTCACTATATCAGTGTCAGTAAAGGTGCGGACCTCGATTTTTTCCACCATAGGAGATTTTTCTCGGTTTGACCTTAATATGGCTTATAACCTGACCTGAAGGGGACCGCCTAGCCGGGTGTCTTGGCCGGTGGATTTCGATCTGCCGAGTCAAGCATCACGGACGTGGGCCGGAATTTGGATGGATGACCTAAGGCAGGCTCGGAGACGTGGCTGTGGTCCCCGATAAATGGTAATGAGAGCAGAGCAAGAAATCTCTGTAACTCAAGACCATGTTATCATACATTAAAACTGTACGAGACTTTGCCACCAAGCCATCCGTGTAGTAAATAAGATGGTTTGAAGAAAAGTACTCGAGTAATGAAGGAGGGTGTACAAGGGGCCTAATAAGGCCTAAGTGTCGTGGTGGAAGACAATTCCACCACCCCCTCCGACATACATACATAACCTGACCTGACAAGGTCAAACAAACCTCGGATTCGGATTCAGCGACCTCGAAAACATAAGGATGTAGTGGTCTAGTCAGAATTTAGATTTTTTTTTGGTGGGGCTGTGAATTGTCGAAACTATATTAAACAATTGAGGTACGTGTTCCTTTTTAAATATTTTCTACGGAGGGGTTCTTTTAAGTATCTAGGAAATCAGATAGAACTGCTACAAGAATATTCATTAAATATTAATTACAAAATTGATTCAAATCAAGTACAAGTGAGGTATTGATTTTTTTCGAAATTTGAAACCCCACTTCCAAAGTCTATAGCATCTATGGTCTGTGTCGGTTCTTTTGCGAAACGCCCTGTATGAACTTCTTCTTTTTCTTGCCTTTAAACTTCTAGAATAAATTTAATATTACGAAATAAAAAAATCGGATATTGTTGGATTCAGGGATAAATTCTGTAACAGATTAAATGGAAAAATTAATACAGGTTCATTTAAAAGACCATTAGGTCTTGACAAAAAATAATGTCACTTTGAAGTTTTTTGAGAATCATTAACGCCAATGTATTGTTTTTAGAAATTAGATATAATTTGTAGCGTTTTCTACGAAAAAAGTATAAACATTTGCTTGCGCTTGATGTTTCCTTTCTTGATATTCATTCAGCGTCTTGTATTTCGATAACGAAGACAAAGACAAATGTTTTTCCAATGTTAGACCCTGTGTAGAGGCATTCTGTTTTTTTATTGATTTCAAGATAATGTTAAATTTGTCGGAAAAAGAAAACTGTTTCCAGTGTTCTGAAAATAATAGAACAAGCTAAAATTTCGGAAATACAATACATCGTAAAATCAATTACCTATTGGAATAATAATTTTGTTTAAAAATCTCATTTAAATCACTATTGAACTGATTTCGTGTTTATAATAATTCAAGTTGTTACTTACTTAAACTCGAAAGACAAAAATTAACAATTTATTATCAGTTTTTATGTTTTCTTTACTTAAAACTGTCTTACGACATTAAATTTGCGTATTCTAAAGAGCTCTATAACTTCGACATCCATTGTTGAGATGGCGTACAATATTTTTCAAGTTTACTTTTTAAGCAATTTGGGTCGAAAATTAGTTTTTCCAATATATTGGAAAAACTATTTATTTTGGAGAAGTGTTCAATAGAGGAAACATGCGCAATAAAAAGATTTACAAAATGCCGGATAAATTGTTTAAAAGTTATTGCAAAAAAATATCAAAAAACGTGGAAAAACAGCATTTTTTAAATTATTCATAACTTGGTTGTTATTTGTTGGAATTTTATCAATATGCCTAAAAGTTGTGAGTTTTATTGTTCTTCAAAACTATACTGTGGGCGCAAAAGTTTTTGCAAAATTCTATTTATTTATCCCGTCAAGAGCAAAAATGTATAGCATTAATCCTTGTGTCTCTCCGAAAGTTATTGAGCCGATTTTTAAACTAACATAACTTAGTTTTGTATTTAAATGAAATTTTGATTTATTGACAGGGGTCCATTTGAAAAAAAAAGTGTAACTCGGCTCCAAAAAGAAAAATTTTTTTTTAAATGTGTGGTTTTTGATTGGCTGTACAATCACACTTTTTATATTATATTATATTTAATTAAATAAAGTGTGAATGTATAGGTAGCACACTAAGTTAGGTTTTAAGCAAGCTTTAAAAATCGACTTTCTAAACCCTTTTTTGTTGATAACTTTCGGAAAGACAGAAGGTTAAAGTTATGCATGTTTGTCCTTGACGGGATAAAAAATAAATAGAATTTTGCAAAAACTATCGGGCCCACATCGCCTACCTTTCGCACAGTTTTGAAGAACAATAAATCTCGCAACTTTTAGCAATATTTATAAAATTCCAACAAATAACAACCAAGTTGTGGATAATTAAAAAAATGCTGTTTCCACGTTTTTCATGATTTTTTTGCAATAACTTTTAAACAATTGATCCTATTTTAATCTATCTAGCGTCATTTTGTAGGCCTTTTTATTGCATATATTTCGTCTGTTGAACACTTTTCTCTAATATCGATAGTTTTTCCAAGATATTGCAAAAACTGATTTTCGACCCAAATTGTTTAAAAAAACAATGTTGCTAATGAAAAATATTAATTACAAAATTGATTCAAATCCGTGTTGCTTCAATTATGGCAAATTGTGGCCAAACACCCTGAATTTGCTTGATTACAATTAAAGTGTAGTACTACTATTTACGATAATGCTATTGTTTTTTAGATTTCTATTTTTTTAATCCATATACATATACAATTATAAATTTAAATATTATATTTACTGACTTTCTTCTTACCTAAAGTCAAAACTTCCTGGCTCTTGTATATTAAAATCGTAACGTTCTATTTTAGCATCCATTGAAACCTCTGGTCTACAGTCAACACTCAGGTAGATATAGAATGTTAGTAGAATCTGAAAATAATGAATTAACTTTACTTCAGTGTCATGAATTTATCATTTTAATAGAAAATTTTCACGTATTTCCTGAGAACATAAACAGAAAGTAGTTAAAGTGTCACAAGCTTGACTTTTGAGAACGAAAAGCACATGTCGATAGGTATATCAATGTATTTAAGGGGCGTTTTTCATTATTCTCTGAATTGTGAATATTTTCTGTGGTGTCCAATGACTTTCTTATTTATGGTTCTTTAATTTTTGGGTATACATAGATAGTTTCGTCTACCTTCCGACTTTTCAATCACAATCCAAACTTAGGTACAGTCCACACGATATTTGTTGTGATAGAATTCCAAGAAAACCCCTGCGTCACATTCTTACTGTTACGCCACCAAAATATTACGCCACAAAAGTGTACAAGTGTTTGAACTGCCTAACTCGTATTATAATGATGTCACTTACCACCTTTAGCTCCATGGTCATTTCATAACTGTGTAAAGACCAAACTAAGACACTAAACTATCACACTAATGGATTTATAAAAATATTTCGCATCAAATTCTTCTAAACAAGGATGGGAGCTGTTATACAAAAAATACGATTTCATTTTTACAGATACAAACACCCGCAAGCGATATTGAAAATTTCAAAGGTTACGGATCAACGAATTACTAAAGTGCTGAGAAATGCGGAATATCACAATTATCTTGTATTCGAACCGGTAAGGAATATTAACTGAATCATCCTGACTGATTGAATTAATGTAAAATTTTAATTGCATTTATTAAACAGTTTCTTGTATCAAGTAAGTTTTGCATGCTTAAGAAGAAAAACATCAACATTTCTTTAATAGTTATGCCAGGCAATACCTATATCTCACTTTGCTGTTGTCGTTGTTTTCGTGATTGTCGTTATTCTCATCGATGTCATTGTGGGTGTCGATTTTGGTAGCTGTCATTGTTGTTATGGTCATAGTTGTTATTTAATCTAATTTAATTATAAGGAACACAAAATAGCACGCAATATGCAGATAAAGTAAAAATTAAGCTAATACTGAATGTATTGATGAAGGGTGCATTCACAGTACCACAAGGCAAATGATTTCAGGCAACAAAAACACTATTCACAATAAGGTTTTGACATGTGATACTTTGCAAGTAGTAGTAGTAGTAGTAGTAAAGGGGCGGCCTCAGCCTGGCAATTAGGCCACGAGTGGGCCCTTTTTGCCTACCCCGCCGTCCCATCACCTAACCACTCTCTGCCTCTGAACCTCCTCGAACCTACCCGACGCCCTAATGAACGCCAGGGTTTTGGTCCATGGAAGGTCTCTCACCTCAACCCCTTGCAGCTCTTCAGCACCAAAGACTTTATGTCTTATTCTCCCAAAGGCTGCACAATGTCCCAGAAGGTGGATAGGGGTGTCCTCACCTTCGCCACATTTCGGGCATAGAGGGTCCTCCTCAATTCCTATTAAGCTTAAATGCCTCCTAAGTCTGCAGTGGCCTGTCAGAACCCCCACCATTTGGTTTGGGGCTCTTCGACTGGCTCAGCAGCCATCTCGTCATGGATTTGCTAGGTCCATGTATAAAACTATGGGCCTGCCTACATCCTCTATTTCTCCTCCAATTTACCTAAAGTTTGATAGGCCCATTTATTGAGGGCCCTATTAATGCTGCCTCGTGTGATACCTAAGATTGGTTCAGGTCCCTGTCCAGGTCCCCTGGACCCGAGACGATTCCTTACCTTCCTTACAATTCCTTACCTCCTCCTTGCATACATACCCAGTGAAAGGCTTTCCTGGATGCCGCTGCCTTCCAGATAAATTCCTGCTCCTGAAAACTCGTCTTCTACCCGAAATCCATCAGTATGACATACTAGGGATCCCGGGGAGAACATATCACCATCCTGCTTACACTACTCTCTCGAGGGGAAAGTGGTGATACTTTGCAAAGTTTATAACTATGACTACGCAGATTGTCACTATGATTTAAAGAAAATGTATCTGACGTACTGAAAATTGCGATTACCTCCCAACGTCCATCTTCCAATAATGTCAAATGCAACCTGGGAAAATATTTCGTCATTGACAGAGGAGGAAACTGAAAGATCCATTTCGTTAAGCTCCTTTTATTTTTTTATGTGGTGTACAATTTATTGAAAAGTCAAACATTATGTTATTTGCTTAAAATGTATAAAGAGTTGGCACGTACCACAAACCAACTTTGATGTAAGATGACCTCAAGGTCAGTCTGAGAATCAACTGGCTAAAGCATTGATCTATTTCCAAAGCGGTAATTTTGTTTTTATATGTATAGACGCTAAAACGCACACATTTGGAAACTATAACTTCCTCAAAATTGCAAATCATTTGCTTGCTGTAATTTTTTATCGGCCAATTTTTTGGAAAATGGGGTTACTTCCTAAAAGATAGCAAAAAAATTCATTTTTTTTTCTTGGATTTCTCGTCGACAACTTAAGAACTATTCATTTTAGACAAAAATGGAAGAGGAAAAAATGTTTTGTAATTAAATTTTGATCAAGATAGAGTTAGTTGCAATTCGAAAAAATAATTATTCTTAGTGCAAAAATCGGAAAAATCATTTAAAAAATTGCAAAAATGCTAGTTTATTTGTCAATTTTTTCAGACGCTTGAATAATACCTAGAATCTTCATACTTTTCCCAATTAAACTTCTTAGTGCATAGAATCATCACACCAAATTTCGTCCAATTCGGTTCGATAGTTTTTACATAATACCTAATTGTTTTATTTTTTTTTTTAAATTAAAAAATTTTCAAAATCAAATTTCTAAAATTCTAAAGTCTTTGAATACTTGAAAATTTCACCACAAAAAGAAGAGCTCGCAAGCTTTAAAATGATTTTTGAAAAATTTAAATCGGACGATTAGGTGAGCCGTGGTGATTTTTTAGACATTTTCGCAATTTTTACGCTTATAAACAATCGCAATAATTTAATGTTTTTTTCAATTTTTTTTTAATTTTAAAATATGGTTTGAAAGTACTCGGAAAGACGAATATTTAAAGAAATCTGATAATCCGCCCATTATTTTCGGAGTTATAGCCTGTTAAAGTTAACCTTTATTTACAGCAAAATTATAAGGGCATAAGGGCTGTTTATTGAAGTAATAGGTTTGTCATTCCGAGTACTTTCCAGATATAAATTCTCAAAATTTGCAGTCACGGGCGTCACATTTAAAATGTCACTCAAAGATATCCAAGACCGCGTGAAATCAATGAAATATCAATGGTGGGGGAGCAAACACATAGCTACTCTGATCTGAATTCTCGAGTTCAAAAATACTCTGAGTATTGCACCCATTGCCAAGGGCAATTGTGTAAAAATGCTTACAAAACAGTGGAAGTAGAGAGTTCGAAATGGATTTTGAAGAAGACATGTCAGAAGAAAGTGCAAGTGAACTCGGCAATCAGATTTCAGAGTCGTTAGAAAATGATATTTTGCAGTTGCAGGACGAGGGAATCGACGATAAAATAGATTGTGATAATACTGATGAGGCATGTGAAAAATCACCAACTAGTAAAAGAATTAGATTAGATTAAATGTAAATAAAAATTGAAATCTATATATGTATTAAAATAAACTGTTTGAAATTTGAAAAATCATGAAAAGTGTACTGTTTATTGAAGTATCCAAAAGATTCTTATAATTTCTTTATATAAATAAAACATAAATTTTAGATAAATATTTTAAAAGTAAACGAAAAAATTATAATTATAATTATTCACAATTTATTTTTTTTTGAAAGATTTTTAGAAATTTATCGTACAACTAAAAATTAATACGAATTTTCAGTTGTTTATTTAAATAATTATTGTTTAAACAATTTTATAATATTTAAACAAACTTACTAGTATTACCTGGTGCAACATGCACAAATTTTGGTCGTGAATATTAACATAGTAAATAAATAGACATAATAAATTAATCATTTTTTAAAGTAACTGTTTCTCGGCATGTCAAAAGTCCAATAATTAATAATAAAAGATAGTTGAAAATATGATAATTGAATTTTTTAAGTTGCGAGACATCGATTTAAAAAAATCATCGACATTGGTCCATTAGAAGCTGAGATAAGTGAAATTTTTCCGAGCGTCGCAGTTTTGAACTTGAGAATTCAAATCGGAGTAGCTGTGTGTTTGCTCGGAAGGACAAACCTATTAGTTCAAAAACAGCCCTTATACCCTTATATTTTTGCTGTAAATAAGGGTTAACTTTAATGGGCTATAACTCCGAAAATAATGGACGGATCATCAGTTTTTTTTTAAATATTCGTCTTTCCGAGTCTTTCAAACCATATTTTAAAATAAAAAAAAAAGTTGAAAAAAACATTAAATTATTGCGATTGTTTATAAGCGTGAAAATTGCGAAAATGTTTAAACAATCACCACGGCTCCCCTAATCGTCCGATTTGAATTTTTCAGAAACCATTTTAAAGCATGAGAACTCTTCTTTTTGTGGTGAAATTTTCAAGTATTCAAAGGCTTTAGATTTTTAGCAATTTGATTTTGAAAATTTTTTAATTTAAAAAACAATTAGGCATTATGTAAAAACTATAGAACCGATTTGGATGAAATTTGGTGTGATGATTCTATACACTAAGAAGTTTAATTGGGAAAAGTATGAAGATCCTAGGTATTATTCAAGTGTCTGAAAAAAATTGACAAATAAACTATCATTTTTTGCAATTTCTTAAATGATTTTTCCGATTTTTGCAATAACAATAATTATTTTTTCGAATTGCAACTAATTCTTGATCAAAATTTAATTACAAAACTTTTTTCCTCTTCCATTTTTGTCTAAAATGAATAGTTGCTAAATTGTCGACGAGAAATCCAAGAAAAAAAATGAATTTTTTTGCTATTTTTTTATACTTTTTTTGCAATAACAATTAAGCCCACGTTTTTTTTTATTTGCATAGAAAAATTAACATTTCTGGTGTTACTTAGAAGCCGTTAAAGCAAAAATTGAAAAACAGATACCGCCTGGACTAATTAGATTTTGTTTTGGTATGTGTTGATTTACTTAATTTGCCTTCTATTATGTTATATTATATGGATTATATTAAATATTCCTCCCTAAGCGAACCTATATTGTTAAAATAATGGGAAAAGAATAGATGAGGAAATCAGGAAAACTCTTACGCGGGGATATCTCGTTCTCTCTCTCCTGAAATTCATTGATCCACTAGGATAACAAGGACATGGTGCTGTGCTGATCTGTTCGTTCTATTCGAGTGTTCCAACACCTCACTTATAATTTCTGCAGGATACTCTGGCATGCGCATCTTTTGCAAAGAGGCGGATTAAATTGATGTAAATATTGGTGAGTGAAAAAACAATTTATTTTGGTTGCTAGATTTAAAGAGACAAAGAGATTTATAATTATTACAAATCTTAGGTTGTTGAAAAAAATTGAAAATTGATAATATTACATTATTTATTTCTT